ATCGTACAATTTTGAAATTTAAAGAAAAAATTACGGTTTTTCCCAAAAAGTTTTTTAAACTTTTTAACAAGATAAAAAAATTCATAATATTTACGTGGAATAATAGGTTTTCAAACTCTTGACAACATTTAAGAGTTTTTTCATGCAATTTTTCAACCAGTTTTGCAAAGTTCTTTCAAAGATAAAAATTTTCATAAAATTCACTTAAAACAATAGGAGTTCCAACTCTTGCAGACATTCAAAGTTTTTTCATGTATTTTTTTACAAGTTTTTTGAAGTTATTTCTAAAATAAAAATTTTCATAAAATTGACGTAAAATAATGGGTTTTCAAACTGTTAAAAACATTTAAGAGCTTTTTCATGCATTTTTAAATGTTTTTTTTTACTTTTTTTTAATTAAAAAATTACATTAAAATTACTTAAAATAATAAATTTTCAAACTGTTCAAGCCTTTTAAGAAATTTCTTACGTATTATTTTAAGAGTTTCTTAATTGTTTCTTTAACACTTTAATCAACCGTAAATTAGAAGTAAAATTTAACGTAAAATTCTCTTTTTTTAATCGTCACGGTTATTTTAAGAGTATTTTAATTAAATTTTACGTAAATTTTAAGAATTCTTAAATTTTACGTTTTTTTTAAGAGTTCTTTCAAAAGTGAGTGCTACTAGGGATGGGTTGTTTTTATACGAGAATTAAAAATAAACAAGTGGTACGGAATATAACAAAAGAATATGAAGTATGCAAAAGGATTATCCGGGTATCGGAACTTGGCTGTTTTGAAAACGCCTTCAAATGCGGCGTGATACCTCACGCATTCCGGAGAGTTCAAATAGTTGTATCATTGCGCCTTAGAAATGCGACGGAAGATTACAATTGAGGACACCGCACCAAGAACAGCCGATAGGCGTATGGGTCGTTATTACGCCCATATGCTTTTCGGATTCTACTTACCCTGGACTATGTTGTGGTAGCGATAGAATATAGATAGGTAACGGCTCGAGGTCAATAAACTTTTTTTTCCGAGTTAAGTCAGGCCTCTGGATCGATGGGTGCAAGAACGACCTATAAACGGGCGTATAAACTTAAGGGCCTAAGGTGCTAGTTACCCTTTTCTTTACTCACTATCGATATTCTTTCATTTTGCGTTAATCATGCTTGATTAAAATGATTTATACTTCATATTGCCACCAAAATGACTGCTGGGCGTAATAATGGCCTATAAACCGTTTTTTTTTTTTTTTAAATTTGAATATATTAGATTGTAAACCCAAAATGTATCGCAAAATCTACCCGGCATCCTTCAATAGAAGGGTTAGGTCACCTAAAAACACCAAAACAGGGTACCTGCATAGAAAAGTCATTACATCAATGTCATACATCAAAAACAAAACTTAAAGTAAGTTTTTCTCAAATCGCGGTTTTTAATTATAGGCTGTTCTTGGTGCGGTGTCCTAAATTGTTTAATAACTACTAGTCTCGCCTAATTAGGTACCAAAAATGTCAAGATATTCAAAAGCGAATTTTACTTAAAATTCCGAGCCACTTTGAGAAGTTCTGTCCCGGTTTGTCTCATCAATCACCAACACCAGTGAACACCGTTTTTATCAGATTCGACCAATCAGGTCCGTCGGTTTTCGGTAGGTCGAACCGCTTATAGAACCACCTCGCGAGGTGGTACCAAAACCACGCACTAGCGTTGCGATTCGTTAGTCACCGAATCGGAAGTTCCGAACTCAAAGAGAATGGCAGCTTGGAGGTTCGGGCACAAAATTAGTACTGAATCTCTAAATGAAATTAGCTTAAGCATTCTTGTCGAAGTTCATTTTAGAGAATTACGAGTGTCAAGATTCACAGGGTGCCACGCTAGCCGAGGCATTGTGTCCAATAACCGATGGGCAGGACAGGGCCGTTTTGAGGACGTATATAAAATGTCCACCAAACGCGGGTGTTAAAAAATGAAAGAAGTGGGAAAATGGGAGAAAAAAGGAGACAAGTTACGCACCGGTGATTCTGCCATTATTTTGGGCCAGATTTAAACCCGAACATTGCGACAGGAAAGTATAAAATCGAGCCTTCAGCTACACCGAAACTGGGTCAATGAGGGTGCACTAAGAAGAAAAGAAATCTGGAGACACAATAAATCTTGTTTTCAAGTAATCGAAAATTTCAATGTGTAGTCATTTTTGGAGCCGGATTAAGTATAATGAGCGGGTGTTGAACAGTGATAGTTGATGTCAGCGGTTTTCTCCCGTGATATTCGTCCTAAAAGTCCTAAACACAGGAATATCCGTTTCATCATTCACCTTTTACCTTTGTCAGTCGTTTTTACTCAGGCCAGTTCGCCTTCAATATCCGAGTAGGCAATTTTAGCTGCTTAGGAGCAGTAAAAGTTGCTTGCCGCAGTTTATTCACGTACGTATCGGTCAATGAATCAGTTGTGCGATCGAGGCGGATCCAACATTTTGGCAACACCGGATTTCCTCCATTTAAACATATGTTAAATAATCGATTCTTGTCGGGGCACCTGGCCCCTCCAACAATCAATACCTTTCCATAGGTTTAAATTGAGGAAAATATTGTTGCCGATTTGCTGGATCCGCCAATTAGTTACAAAATAGTGTTTTGATGCTTGATTCCTGTAGATCACTCAAAAATAATACAATGTGTCCAAATAGCAACTTTCTTAGTGCAATACGAAGGGGATCCAAAAAATTCGGAATTTTGCTGTGACTTGGCAACGACGAAAAATTTCGAGTTCCACCGCCAGCAGGTGTTACTAGGAGCTATGAAGAGTCACTATAGGCCAAATTTCAACATCGTAGCACATTTTCTTTCATTTTGGCGAGACTTGGCCCAAGGGGTTGTTTGGCGAGTTTTTCGTTTTTGATGATGGATCAATTTCAGGAACAACACTTAGCACTCAAATTTTTCTCTCTAGCTAGATAAAAACACCTCTTCCTCTGTTATCCTTTTGAAGTGCTGCTTCTGAAAGACAAACCTCATCAAAAACTTCAGCGCAAGTACGGTTTTCCGATTTAAGAATGGTGCTGTATCGTCCGAAATCACTGTTCGGCTCTAAACCGCCGTCGCCATTGGCCAGAACCGATGAAAACATGAAAGAATCGCATTTCTGTGAATGAGGATGGTTTAATTAATACATCATTTAATTAACTAGCAGATATCATTTGAATGTAATACAGAAATGTTCAAAAGTCGTCAAAAAGTCTAAATATTAAAAATTATGCTAAATGTTATTAAATACGGATGCCAGGACTTAATGAGTTTTTGGACAACCGCTCTCTTTTTGTGCCGTATAGTTTATTGATTTATTTTGCAAGGAAAGCTCCGTGCTCGCATAGGATGCCTGTCATTCTTAATATGTTGGAGCGCGTTCAATTTCGTATGATTCTGTGCGACACCTCCGTTGTGAAATAGTTGTTTAAGGTCACGTGGCTCGCTGGGAGGGCGAACAGCGTCAAATGCGCACTAGCGCTTACCAACCTAAGGGGATACTTCAAGCATTGCGCAATGCGTGAAGTATCCCCTTAGGTTTGTGGGCGCCAGTGCGCTGTTGGCGCTGGCGGCACGCTCTGCGCCGCTCCGCTCTGTGTTAGGCTTTAATATTTAAACTCGCGGAGTCTGCGCGTTTTTCAACTCATGATTCTGAAATGATTGCACACTCTGCATGGATTATTCTCATTTAAATTGATGAAGGGAAAATGTAATGTGTGTTTTGTAAATATCAAGGTTGTTCCGTGCCAAATGTAATGATCTCCAAAGCACTACAATTTTTTTTTTTTTTTTTTTTTTTTTTTTTTTTCATATTTTGTGCTTTTACTGTGCTGCAGCGTGGTGCACGCACAACCAAACGCTTAAAATTGGATGTATTTGATTCTAAAAGGTCGATGTACACATAGGTTAAAACCAAAGATTGCGTGCTTCTTTGGTTTTTTCCTCCATTCATTTTTGTATAGTTCCTTCCAAACAACTACGGCTCATTGAGATTAATATCGATGTCATCGCCTGGAAGAGGTTTTACAAATATTTGCCACGTTTAATAAATGTAAATGTTTTTAAAATGATGTAATGTTTTCATTTAAGAAAAAAGAAGGTGCGTACAAGGTATCTTTTATGTCAAAAATTTTAAGAATAGAAATAAAACCAAATACTCACCAATGACAATTTAAAATGATGAATCAAAAACGAAGAAACAAACATTTTATTTAACAAATGAGTTACAAAACCTCCTTCTCTCTCAATTTTCTCATTTCGATATCGTCAGTAATATTTTAAGCACGGGCTAAAATATAACGCTTGGACCAAGTCACTGTCGCGTATTTTACGCGCGAACGTAAGCTCTTCTGCAAAACAGGTGCGCGGACAAAAAGTCGTTGACGGAATGTCCTGAAACCAGGAAATAAGAGATTTTTCCAGCGATGTTTTTTAGAAAATAAGACATACCGCGATAATCACCACGAAATTGCGGCAAGAACGGGAATCTTCCGGAAAAGCGGTTTTCAAAAATTATAAACAATTGCGCATAATTTACCTCAATTTCGCGGCAAAATCGCAAATTTTCCAACAGTTTATCTAGATCACAATGATCCCTCGACATTCACCTCATCATCTCGGCAAACACGCGACTTTCCTACCGGTGCGAGCATAATATTCATGAACGTCAGCAACATGAGATACGCGAAAAGTTATGATTATCCTTCAATATCGCGTGATACCACATACCTACTCCGGAGTTCGAATAGTTGCTCGCCCGATTACCGCGTGCCGAGAAATGAGAAACCACGCGATTTTCCTCTCAATATCGCGAGAAATTGAAACATTTTTAGCGGGCTGTTTAAATCAAAATAAATTACGCGCTTTTAATCTGATGGTGGGAGAATGATCTGAGGTCGTTGACTGGACTACTATGAGACATCCATCCATTAGACCATTGTAAAGTGGTGTGGGCAGCTGGCTCGAAGTACACTATGAGCAAATTAATTAAAAATTATCCGTCGCGTCGGAATAAAGGTGGTATCGAAGACTTTGGGTTATCAAATAACGAGCGCTGATAGAATACGTATTTTTCTCGTCAATTAATAAGATATTTGTCAATTCAAATGTGTGGTGAGAAGATGCGCTGCCAGTGTTATCTCCATACCTACATTTTTTTCCTCCGGTGACACGACGACGTGATGACGCAGTGGAATGAGTTGTTGGTTCTTACCGCTGATACGGCAACAGTATTCGTTTTCACTTCGCCCGTCTAGCTAGCCGTCTTCCAACCCAAAGATGAATCGATCCATGATTTTACTGCTCTGGATTCTTGTAAGTACCTAGCTTCATTTTTTGTATCCATTAAACATGTGCGCGGACGAATCTTATTAAGTTCTAATATTGTCACAATGTTGACACGATATTGGTTATACAATGTTGGTAACATAATACTGTCATAACATTATTTTTTTATATTGTAGTAATATTCGCATTTCAACATTGCTACAGTATTAAGAAAATAAACATTTTAGGCTTCTGTTGGTAATATTGTCATAATATTGACACAATATTGTGCGCAGCGAGCACAATTCGACCGCGTTTGCTATTTCCGCCACCAGGGCACGCTCGCCGCGGATCTGCTGCTGCGGTCCCTTTAGGGGCAAATTAAAGGGCAAAAACTGCGACTTTCGCTTTTTGACGTAGTAGGCACATGATCCATAGGCGTCTAACCCATCTTACCGATATTCTTAGGTCAAGGGCTCAAATGGTGCTTTTTGGCAACGGTCCGCGCGCGGCCGCCCCGTCAATGGGGCTGGTTCTCGTTTCGCCTGGGCAGTGCCCGTTTCATTGAGAATCCAATTTAAACGCTCAAGCCAATGAAAGCAGTCATGGAAGTAGCTGGATTCTACTAAGTCTCTCGGCACTCCATCGTTCCGTGTGCCGTTCTTAAGCAGTGCGACCAATACGACTCCATGAATTTTCTTCCGCAGAGATGCCAGACATGACGGCGTCAGTATTGTAGAAACGTTCATGCAATCTTCGCACAAGATTCAAAGTTCATTGAGATCCCAACCTTTAGACAAGACTGCACCTGCAACTTTGTCCCAATATTCGCCATTAAAAGGTTACATCGTGGCTAGATTGGTACAGTATTGGTACAATTTTTCTACAGGCTTTTGACTTCGTTCAAAAATCAACCATCTGACAATATTAGTGCATCAAAATTGTCTCAATATTTTCCATCGGAGGGTAAAACAGGAACGTGTCATTATTACTACAATATTGATACAATTTCACTGCAAGACTTCGATGTCATCGAGAGATCAACCTTTTGGCAAGCTTCAAGCACCAACCTTTGAGAAAGCTTCTCGCGGCAATCTTATCACAATATTCCGATCCCAACGATAAAAAATGAACATAGCAAGATTGTCACAACCTTGTGACAATCTTGTGACAACCTTCTCTCTCAATCTTGTTTCAGAGGAACCACAATAAGATTGACACAGACTCTTTTTTCCGATTGGGGAAAAATCCCCCATGGGATACTTACTCAAGTAAGGTCATTTTCGGCCACATCCACCATCTTGGATCTTCGAATTGTCGGAATTTGACCAGAAATTCGAGTTTTCCATCGAAAAATACCCCACGGCACCAAAAATTAGCAAAATCGATCGAACAGGAGCCGGGATAGCATTTAAGGCCACATCCCTAATCTTGGATTTTCGAATTTTTACGATTCACGGGTTTATTGACCTGTTCAAAGGTTTATCGATCAATTCACGGATTTTTCGAACGAATCACAGGGTTGTCAATCGATTCACAGATTTATCTATCGATTCGCAGGTTTTTGATCGATTCACGGTCGTCAATCGAATCAGTGCCGATCAAATTACGTCAATCGGTTCACGTTCCAACTTTTCGATCGATTCATGTCGGTCATGTCGGATTCATGACACCGCGGTTTTTCAATAATTTCTCGATCGAGTCGGTGTCGATCGATTCATGTCAATCAAATCTATAAACCCTCCTGTCCAAATTGCATGTTAATATTTATGCCACCATTCTCGAAATATTAGCAAGTCTGTAGGTATCCATATTTTTGGCACACCCTGTTATTGGTAGAATATCTTTCCGCAGGGAAAATGCACCTCCCTACCTCCTCGTAAGATGGGAGGAGGGGGTGTTTTATCTGTTGGGGTTAACCCTCCAGTGTGTAATAGTGACACCAGGGTCGTCTCCCCTTTGCAGTCAGTGCTAAAACAATCTATAGTTCCTAATTGCAAAATGAGCTTCCCCGGATTCTTCATTTTGCAATAAGGAACTATAGCCTTTTTTTGCAATTTTTGGCAACAGTGTGAGGTTTTTGAAGAATCTGTCAACACAGGGTGGTAAAGGAAGTCCATAGCTATAAAATGAACTATCAAACCGCAACATTGATTGTTTTGAGGAAAAACGCCAATGGTTTTTGCAAAAGTTGCTCTCCTGAAAACCTACCGTACTACCTATAGTTCCGAATTGCAAAATGCTATCCAGTTATAAGTCCATCACATTGAGAGCCGGAGTCCGTGTGCTGTGTTTTATTGATCCATGTGAGTTCACGCGTAATTTGCCCAAATTTGTATTCGAATTGTCTCTAAAGCTACCGTCTTCTCTTTGAATCTTTCTTTATTGACCTGCTTCATACATTTTCTGAGATTTCTTCATTATTCGCATCGACCAATTTCTGGAGGTTAGGAGTTGCTGCAATGAATCTGGCTTGCGAAATGAAGGATGGTCCTGAAAACTTGAAAACCTTCGCAAAGTTGTTCTGCTATCCAGTGAATATCGGTTCTGTGTGAAGTCGATTCGAAAACTTAAAGGTGGGGAAGTTTGAAAATTATCGACTAGAAGTGTCAACACCTTCTCATATTTTTCCTTCATATTTTCGATTTTTCATTACATTTCAGTATACTCATTAGGGATGGCTGGATTACATTCATTTCTATCTTTTTCAGTCCTATCTCCCAGCCATCACCTACAATCACCCATTACTTTAATTACTGAACTTGCAACTGATAGCTCCACTCATTATAGCCAGCCAATAGCGTGTAGACTTGTTGTCTCACCACCTGTGACGTCAGCAAGTCTATAAAAGCTCGCGCTGCTCCAAAATCTGGGTCCTTCTACCATCTTGACCCGTACATGTACGTAGTGCCCTTTTTCGCCCTTTTGGCACATCATTTAGTGACTATTTCAATTCTGTAAGTTATTCTCTCTTTCGGTCAATACAACTCTAAATTTTTCATCTCAAAATTTCGTCATTTAATTCTATCCCGTAGTAGTTCGTTGGATCTACTTATCAAAACCCAACTGGTGCCGAACGGATATTCCAGCCTTCTCTTTTGACAAGAAGTGATTATTGAATAGGTACTTCGTTCGCAGGTATATCTATTACTGTTAAAATTTTCGAAGCTCAAAGTACCTACTCAGATGAGGAGTCAAATGTGCGTAGGATTGATCTTTAACTGTAATTTTAAGCAAAATTTGGCAGGTTTTGCCCCACTGTGAACTGTGCGACTGGATTTTCATGTAGTGTCTTTTTGTGGGTATTTTTTGAACTATCTTAGTATTATATGAAATTAAATTTTCTGTGGATCTGATTTAGTCTGTAAATGATACATCGACGGGAATAACACGTATGGTTTTCGTATCATTTACTTGAAATCAGTGAAGCAATTGTCTGCTATTTCTCGTTGAAATTGTCTTTAACTGCCATTGATTATGTATGTAACGGAATTTCTTATCAAGATGTACGTAAAATTTCCACTCCTTTCACCAAAAGTCGGCCTCCTGTGGTGTAGTGGTTGTAGCGCTAGCTCTATGATCGGGAGGTCTCGGGTTCGATTCCCGGCCATGCGAACCGAGTTTGATGGTCTCAAACAATGGTTGCCTGGGACTGGTTGTTTGGTATAGGGACGGACTAAAAAGCGCGGGATTAGCCTTTGTGGGCTACTTAAAGTGGTAAAAAAAAAAGAAGTATTATATAATACAGGGTGATCCAAAAGTCCCTTCCACCCCCTCCAACTTTTTACCTAATTGAAGTAAAGATTTGAAACTTGGGGAACGTTCCTAGGTCAAAAGGAGTCTAAAATTTTCAGGGGGGGCAACGGACCCCGTGTTTTTTTCTTCAAATGGGAAGACCCCCTTTGTGATAGCTCGTTCGAAAGAGCATGAAAAAAGAAACTTTTCGCGCAAACCCGAAGTCAATATCTCAAACTGTTTCAAAATGGCGGCCGGTTAAAGTTCAAAATGGCCGGAACTTCACACCGGTGATATCTCGATGTATTAGCGCGAAAATAGGTATTTTGGGGTATTTTGAAACAAAGAAACGAATTCGACATTAGATTTTTTTAAAAAAAAAACCGAAATTCCCAAAATGGCCGCCGATTAAAGTTTAAAATGGCCGAAAATTGCCACCTTGGTTTTGTGCCGATGGATTTGTCTAAAACTTGGAACTTAAGGGTATTTTGGCATAAAATTTACACATTTGAACGTAGATTTCTAAAAAAATTCAATTCTTGGTCATTTTGAACTTTAACTGGCGGCTATTTTGGAAATGTCGGTTTTTTTTTTTTTTTTTCAAATTTAACGTCAAATTCGTTTTTCTCGTGTCAAAGTACCCCGAGTTACTTATTTTCGCGCAAATACATCGAGATATATCACCGGTGTGAAGTTTCTGCCATTTTGAAATCCAACCGGCCGCCATTTTGAAAAAGTTTGATTTATTGATTTCGGATTTGCGCGAACAGTTTTATTTTTTTATGCTCTTTTGAACGAGCTGTCACAAAGGGGGTCTTCCCATTTGAAGAAAAAAACATGGGGTCCGTTGACCCCCAAGGAGAGCCCCCCAAAAATTTTAGGGGGGCCAAATAGTAGCTCCTTTTGACCTGGGAACACTGCCCAAGTTTCAAATCTTACCCTCAATTGGGTAAAAAGTTGGAGAGGGTGGAAGGAACTTTTGGATCACCCTGTATATGATGAGTGGATGTTAGAATCCATAACGACGGTGAAACTACCAAACCACGTATCTCGGTTTGCGACGTCGCAGACTTCCTGTCATACTTTATTTTTTAAGTAGAAAACTACTCAACGTCAATTCGTGAAAACTTCCGTGATTTTTCCTCTTTGTGCGGAGAAAAATCTGTGAAAATTGTAAGGAATGATATTGATTTGAGCTCCTTCAAAAAAATAAAATGTGAGTGGAGATTTTTAAACACCGCAAACGAGAAACGTGGTCTGGTAGTTTCACCGTCGATAAGGTTTGTCGGAGCACGATGCTTGAAATTACCATACTTGGACGTATTTCTACCAAACAGACCTATGTGAAGGTGAGAAATATGGGGTGTGCTCGTTAGTTCTCTTTGCGTAAGAGTGAATGAGAATAATAAAGCGCCAGTGACGTCAGTGGCAATGAAGGAGCCGGAGCGGAACGGGGAGATCATCGTCGGGGCGCTTTAACTCATGAGCCCTGTTCACAACGCTCTCGTGCCATACCCGCGGCTCATGAATCTCGCATTCAGTTGGCACATAAGTCTGTTTGATAGAATGTAAAATCCCGCTTTTCCAATTCTTCAAAAGGAATCACGCTCACTTTTACATTGCTTCTAATGCAGTTTTTTAGAGCACACCCCAGATTTCTCACCTCCACATAGGTCTGTTTGATAGAAATACGTCCACTTGTCAGTCGGGAACGCCTCACTAACACTGTGTCGCAAAGTGTCAGCCGTATCGTGTTATTTACCATACCGGTATATTGGTAACTATGCTGCAGCTTCACTGTGTAAAAATTCAAGTAGACAGTATGGTAAGTAACACCCAAACTCTGGTAAATCCCATCATTTTTTTTTCAATGTACCACCGCCATACTCAAAATTGGGCCACTCTACTGGCATATTAAAGCCAACGTATTTTTTTCCTGGTTTATCTATTCACTCCCGATGCATTTCTTTTGGAAATTCCACGGTGTTGCCGTTCATCGCCTTTCATTCCGAATTCGCTATTTTTTTTATAAGTCAATTTTGATTTCCGATCGTAACCTGGCATGTCTATAACCTAATGGTTAAAATCTGTTTTTACCCCTTGGCTTTGGCAATGTCTCTCAGCTTATGAAAGGGCACGACAACTTAAAACATTAGGTCGTATGGTTTTGTATTTGATCTCATTCAACTGATGCTATGATTCTTGAATGGTTTCAATGCTTTAATATTCTGCACTGCTCGGCAACGCATACAGAAATTTAAGATTTTCATCACCTTCTGGCAGCGATTCACCCCGAAAATCAAATTTCCCTTGCGTCCATCGTTACAGTAACCGTTTAATATCATTTACATTCCACTCCTGCAATTTGTCCAATACTGTGCATGTGATCCTGGCTACATTCATGTTTTTCGAAGAATATGCCGCATCCATTCTTAAAATTAGTCCAATCTTTGTCTGTTGTTGCAGGTTATTACTGGTGCAAAGGATGAGCGTCCAGGATGGGCTTTGAGCACTGAAATGTTTATGGAGGCAATAGAGTCGCCGTATTTTGTTGATAAAACAAAGCTGATTCGCCAATTTTTCGAATCCAGGTCAGAAAGACATTTGGTTTTCCATGGACCCAAGCGATTCGGAAAAACAGTTAATATGAACATGATTCAGAACTTTATCGAAATACAAACTGACGAGAATGGTCACATAGCCAACAGAAACAACCTTACGAAGCGCAATGTCTTTGAAAAACTTGCCATTGGGCAGGATAAGGAAGTTTTTAAAGAGTACTTTGCTGCATTTCCTGTAATTCATTTGGTATTCGATATGGCTTCTGAGTCGTTCGATGAGTTTCTAGGTAAATTTGCGATCATGATCAAAAAAGAATATGACAGACAAGGACTTACGCACTTTTTCAATCGCGGTAATTACGTATTTCCTAAGCCGACATTCGCGAATGATCCTGAACTTGTGAGAATGTACAAAAAATATACGATAGACCCACAAAAACTAACCGAATTGGAACTTTCAAACGCAGGATATGAATTGGCTACTCTGCTCTACAAAAACTTCGGAAGACGGGTCATTTTACTCGTAGATGAGTACGATACGCCGATAATACAAGCTTTACTCAATCCTAATGTTTTAAACGACGATGCTGATAAAATCATTAAATTTCTCACCACATTTTTGAAGAGTTTAGTAACATCTAGCAAAGGAATTATCGAGCGTTCACTGCTTACTGGCATCACCAGAGTAGGCAGTACATATACTCTTGGAATCAATAATCTAAAATTTTACCGAATATTTGATGCTCCACAAATTGCCCCTTTTTATGGATTTACAAGGGAAGAAGTCATACATCTTGCCAAAACATTGTCGGTTGAAGATAAGATTGACTTAATGACAGATTATTACGATGGCTTCAAAATAGAAAAAGGCTCATTCATGTTTTGCATGGAGTCGGTGAACAGTTTTTGGGCTTCAGGAAAACTTATTAAATACTGGAATCCCTTCAATCATTATTTTGATTCTTTTTTCGAGTTTGAGCAGATGGGCTCCTATCTTGTTGAAAACATGGATAAAGTAATTACCATTGATTTGAAAGACAAAATAGAGAAAAATGATTTTCTCACGCTCAAGAAGTATATTCAACGTAAAAATTTTACAGAATATTATTCTCCCACCTTTTACTTGATCTTACAAATACTCGTAGATGAAGGAGCATTTACAATTGTACGACGCAGCGGTAGAAAAGAGGCTGATATTAAAATCACAAACCTGGAGGTTAAAGAGCAACTGTTTGACAAAATATATACAACAGCATTTATATTAAAAAAATTCACGACCTCAAAAGATATGCTCGAAAAATACGCACGCAGTGCAATCATCGTGGAAAATGACAAAAGCCGATTCATCGGATTTAAAAATGCCATTAGTGCACTGTTAAACGAAACGAAACCATTGAATGAAGCCGACATGCAAGGTGCTTTGATGCTTTGTGCGGAGTACTACAAGCCCACGCATCAATAATAAGCAAGCCGGGGATACTTTATGTAAGTGAAGGAGGTCGGGTGAAAAACGTCTCTAAAAAACAAAGTAAATCTGAGAACCATGATATATCCGAATTAACAACGTCAATATATGACTGTTTATACGTCTTGAGAAACCTGCGATCGGGACAGGTTGGTATAATACTTGAACTGAAATATAAAAAGGAATCGTCGATGCTAGCATTGACTCAAATTCTCGATCGTCAATATTATAAAGCATTCGACCAAGATTTAAAAAGAAGGAATATCTTTAATATAACAACAGAAGTTTTTATTGGAATTCATTATAATCCCACTACTAATAAAACATCGCTAAGTTATCTGTGGAACGATCGAGATCTAAAGAAAGCTCAACACGTGTAGCTGGTGTGTACCGATAAGTATCCACGGTTCTATTTAATAAGTATTAATTCTTCTGGAGACCTGTAGTGTTTTGTTTTTCATAAAAATGTCAAGGAAGGTCTCTAGATTGAAACAGTGGGGCACATTTTCCAGTTCTTCTGTGTTGAAAGGTAAAATGGTAGCAGAGGCCCATACAGGGTGTTTCAGACCACCCGTACCAGGCCTTTTTGTCGGTTGTTTTAGGTCGAACGAAGTCGGGGATCGCGGGGTTGAATAGGGAATTGACCCCAAGGAATCCGAATTTCGTGGTCCCGAAATCCCCCTACCCCCCCTTGGGGGGTCACGATGCTGAAAGTCACGGTTCCCGACCGAATTGCGGATTAATAGCATCAGAATTGAAAAGCACGGAGTATTTCACGTAAAATTGACCCCTTAAAATCCATAATCGGCCCATCCAAGGCCCAAAAATGACTCCCTAAAGAGGGAGACAGTACCCCCCTCCATAATTTTTCTTTGGTCTCAAAATTGACGTAGATTCTCCAGGAAAAGATGGTTTCGGAGGCAATCGACCCCGAGAAATCCAAATTTCATGGTCCCGAAGCTCCTCTTTTTCCCCTTGGGGTGTAAACGGGGGCCCAATTTTAAAAGTCGGGGCTCCTTTCCGAATCGCAAATTGATTGCATCCAAAGTGAGGAGCAGAACACATTTACAACTTAAGTGACCCCCAGGAGTTCTAATTGACCCTCCTGAACGGCAGAAAGTAACCCCCTGAGGAGGAGGGCTTTGCCCCTCCAAAAATTTCTCAAGATTCCTCTTTGGTCGCAAAATTGACGTCGATTCCCCAGAAAAAAACGGTTTTCCAGGTAATCGACCCCGAGGACTCTGAATTTCATGCTCCGTAAGCTCCGCTACCCGCCCTTTTGGGAAGAAACCGTATTTTTCTGGAGAATCGACGTCAATTTTGCGATCAAAGAGGAATCTTGAGAAATTTTTGGAGGAGCGAAGCCGCCCTTCTGAGGGGGTTACTTCCTGCCGTTCAGGGGGGTCAATTAGAACTCTAGGGGGTCACTTAAGTTGTAAATGTGTTCTGCTCCTCAATTTGGATGCAATCAATTTCCGATTCGGAAAGGAGCCCCGATTTTTAAAATTGGACCTCCCGTCTACCCCCCAAGAGGGAATAGAGGAGATTCGGGACCATGAAATTTGGATTTCTCGGGGTCGATTACCTCGGAAACCATCTTTTTCTGGAGAATCTACGTCAATTTTGAGACCAAAGAGAAATTATAAAGGGGGGTACTGTCGCCCTCTTTAGGGGGTTATTTTTGGGCCTTGGATAGGCCGATTATGGATTTTTAGGTATCAATTTCACGAGAAATTTTCCGTGCTTTTCAATTCTGATGCGATTAATCCGCAATTCGGTCGGGAACCGTGACTTTCAGCATCGTGACTCCCCGCCCTGTACCCCCAAGGGGGGAGCAGGGGGATTTCGGGACCACGAAATTCGGATTCCTTGGGGTCAATTCCCTGCTCAACCCCGCGATCCCCGACTTCGTTCGACCTAAAACAACCGAGAAAAAGGCCTGGTACCTACGGGTGGTCTGAAACACCCTGTATGTGTGACCGCAAAAATTCACCGGAATCAAACCGAAATATTATGTATGTTGGTCTTGACGTGTAAAAAGGCGTCCTCATGAGTTTCAAACTCTCCTTTAAAGAATTGCGCCCCCTTATACGGTGCTGTCTGGTTTTGTTTTCCAAAATGATATTTCTGATAAGGCAATGTAGATTTTGAGTTTGATCGTTGCCAAAGATCTTGAAATAACCAACCGCTTTTATTGTGCGCGTATTTTCGAATCTACCTTAATACGAGAATGCGATGTTGCCATTTTTTATCATTGTTGAATTGCAAAATTTGGCCAAAAAACTCCAATGGACCACTAGACAAGGTACGAACTGAACCATTCTGATACATGTTTCTTAACCAGAATTTCACGTAGGACATGATTTGCGCAACGAAAATTACTGAAACCAACTCCTAACGGAGATATTAACATTTTTATTTCACATTGGTTACGGGGAATTTGAACTGCCCGCTCACAAGAAACTCAAAGCTCTACGTGAGTCAATTCGCGCACTACGACGGTTTCAGCAAACTTCTCAATCAAGCTATGTTCATTTTCCACCATGTGCTGTTCAAACTATAAACAACTTACAATAGCTGAGCTAAAGCGTCAAGATTAAGGTTGCCAGATTTTTATATCGCAGAGACTGTCATGATAACGTTTAGCGCGCGATGTGAGTCACGTAGAGCATTGAGTTTTCATGAGCGGGTGGTTTGAAACCACGCATCAAGAATCATTAAATATCTTCATAACGAATTAATTTCGGTAATTTTCGTTGTGCGCATCATGTTTTACGTGAAATTTTGGTCAAGAAACATGTATTAGAATGCTTAAATTCGTACCTTGTCTATTGGTCCATTTCTCGATTTTTAAAAAAATATGTAGGTTCATTCTTCATCTAATGTAACAAATTTCAAAGCTTCAGTAGATAGTAATATGACGATGTACTTGAACAATAAGCATGGATTGTTTTCAGTCAAATCAAGAAATTGGACTTCTCTAGCCGAATTAAGGAATTCAAAAATATGAAAATATGGCAACCTCGCATATGTACTCACATTGAGGTAGATTCTAAATTACGCAGACAATGTAAAACTTTTAGTTTTTCCATGATTTTTGGTGATAATCTCACCTCAAAATCTACATTCCCCCATGAGGGATCATCGGTATGAGACCCGAAACTAGGCAGCACCGTTTCAGTGGGCGCAAATCTTTAACGGAGGGTTTAAAACTGTCTAGAACGCCTAAAACACACGCGTAACACGTATACGTTAATGGTACACGTCAAGGACCTAAATGCAAAAAATTTAAAGGTATTATTACCAGCGATGGGTTCCGGTGGTCACACATTGACCTCTGGCACCACACTGCCCCACTACCTAACGATTTTGCGGTTTCGCTTTTTCAATCCGAGAGACCTTCCCTGAGATTTTGATTTAAAAAAAAAACAAACAAGGAACAAAAAAACAAAAAACAGAAAAAAAATCGAGCTGTCATCAGAGACATTAACACGAACGAAGACGCACTTTAATTAAATATCACTGTACCCGAGCAAACGGCGAAATAAGACCTAAATCACGTTCAACTTCACTAGAACATGGGATCACAGTTCAGCGTTACGAGGTGCAGGTTTGAGGTTTGTGTTTGTTGGTTATGTTATGGCTGGTTGGCGCCAAAACCGAGAGCGCGAGAGCGCTAACTTAATTTTGATTGGTGAATTTATAGCGCCGAATTCAAGTGTGGCAGTAGTCGCTGTCAAGAACGTCACTGGGTCAATCATGTTACACAACCCTTACCTCGTCAGCATTGACTCAATACTGTTGTTTGATATATTGAAGGTATCAGTGTTGTACAGATGCTGACGCGGTAAACCTTTTATCCGACAATCTTAATATAATACTGCATTAGTGTTGGTGATATCGTGTCAACATCTAACAGTATGTATCCGTATTAACATTAGATTCTGTGCTATGTGGGATGGCTGAAAGTTCTGGATATAGCCAGAGCGGGAATCACTTAGCACAAACACTTGCAAGCCCCATTTGATGGGTTTGTCCTTGTTATAACATTTGAACATCACGCGCCCCTTGATACCAATCGTACTGTCATCGATACTAGCCTCAAATAGAGGAACAAAACACATAAAAAACCGTTCGCGAAGATAGTCTACAACATCTTTCACTTTATCACCCCGTGTGCGTGATCAAGGTGCTGGTGGGCTTACATGCAAATTCCAGAAAAGCATACGGAATCGTTTTCTGGAGAAAACCTGCGAGAAAAACCGGGGGAGGCCCGACTTACGATCTGAACGTGGAAATTATTTTGTCGGGCCTTGCCCGACAGACGACCGCAAAGGGCTAACTCCCCTGGCGCAAACCGATCGCCCACTTTCGTTTTCAGATACGAATCCATTTTCTGCGCTTTAATGATCATTTGATCAATTCTAACTAACGACTGTAGATTGATATCAGCAGGAGATCCTGAAAAAAAAACACACACACACACACATAAAAATGAAATATTAAATAATCAAATGACAAGGAAAAAGAATAAGTTAATATTGTCAATACCTATTAGTTGATTATTGCCAAAAATTTAACTTTAAAATTTAATATATTTTTGAGAATGGTATAAATAAAAGAATCGATCATATTCAATAATTTACACTTCCTGTAAGAGAAATGATTGTCCACAAGTCCCTTCACGTTTTCCCTGCCTCCTTTATCAATTTGTTCTTGAGCTACTACTTGTTCCTTCAGAATTTTACACGCCAAATGCTGTCGGACCCAGCGGCGTGGCGTGAATTGCGATGCATCGATTGTTATTCCATTTAAACATATGGAAAAGAATCGATTATTAAGGTGTTCGCTGCAAACACTCTGTTTATCGATCCTTCTCCATAGGTTTTAATGGCATAACAATCGATCCATCGCAATTCACGCCACGCCACTGGTCGGACCCTCCGGTGAACTCGGTGGACCCACATTTTTTACTGTGTAGGAAACATGTGACATTTGGCTGATAGATTACCATCTGAAGAACCTAAATAAATGACCGGGTTTTTGCTCTGAATCCCTGGGAACTGTAGGGGTTAAGGGAGGGAGGTCAAGGTAAAATTCTTTGAATGTTAATGGCTTGTAAGTGCGGTAGAAGTTAATGCAATTTTCTTTTTTGCGCTAGGCTCAGTCTAAAAAGAATTGTTTGCAAGTGCTCTAACTTGAAGAACTGTTGATTTTTCACTGAATTATGGCGCTTTCAATGGTGTTATTACCTTTTTCCCAACCTCTTTTACGCTGTTCTGACTCCACGCTTTACTGAATTGATGTCAGGGTCACAAACCTTTTTTTTC